ATAGCTCTGATGTTGTCACTGATCTTATGTCTGACCACAGCCCAATCCAAGCTAGTATACATGTAGCCAATGACACCCCCACTGGTGGTAAACTCAACAGACGTAGAATCACAGTCAAGCAAGAACATGAAAGCCAGTTCATAGATTTCATCCATGACTGGTACAAGGACTACAAGCCTGACAATTACCAAAGTTTCCATGACGATCTGATAGATAGGACTTATGTATACTTCACCAACAATGCCTCCACCAAAAAAAGGAGAAAACGTGGTCAGCATTATGGGAACAGGCAACAGCAGTGCTATAATGACCCTGAGCTGAAAAACTCAGGGCTAGGGTCAGGAGGGTGGGTAAGGGTTACAGACAATTTAGAACACCTCAAATGTTACAATTGTATCAAGCTTCCCTTGCTGCTGTCAGGGAACGTGTAAACGAACTCAGACAAAATGCATGGGAGACATATGTCAACAGCCTGAACCAACACACATCCCTCAGCAAAGCCCGGAAAGACATAAACATAATCAGAGGTAAAAACAGAAGACACGTCTCCCATCCAAACCCTCTGCAAAAGTCGAATGAGCTAATAACAAAGTGGGCTCATGTGTCGAGCTATGACATGTTACCAGCTAGGACTCGGGGACTCCTTGATGCGAAGTCTGTAGAGAGAAGTAATCTTATTAGCTTTATGCTGGGCAAACAGCACGATGAGTGTGATGTTCCATATACTGAGTGGGAGCTTGACGCCGCCCTCGCCAGGGGTAGGTCTATTTCCCCTGGAGAGGACGGAGTCACCTACAACATCATTAGACTACTAAGGCGCGTGCCAGGCAATCCATTGTTGGTATTGTACAATATGAGTCATGCCGAGGGCCAACTACCCACATCATGGACCAGCAGTATTGTTGTACCAATACCGAAACCAGGACAGCCTGATGCTTTTCGTCCCATATCACTAACCAGCTGCCTGTGTAAAACCTTTGAGAGGATGGTTCTTGGCAGACTCTTATATAGAATCAGAGAACACATGTCTCCTAACATAAATGGCTTCACCCATGGTAAAGGTGTACATAATTGCATCACCACATTCCTAACTTGTGAGAGAGACCTAGGGGTACTTGTAAGCCCGGACCTACGGCCTAGAAAACAGTGCGTTAATGTTCGAAATAAGGCAAACAGAGTATTGGGTTTTATATCTAGAAGTGTAAGTAACAAGAGTGCAGAGGTCTTATTGCAACTTTATCTTGCGCTAGTCAGGCCGCACCTCGATTATGCGGTTCAGTTCTGGTGCCCCTATTATAGAATGGATATAAATTCACTAGAGTCAGTGCAGAGAAGAATGACAAAAATGATTCCGGGACTTAGAAACCTTCCATATCAGGATAGGTTAAAGAAACTTAACTCTTGCATTCCGTAGAAGACGAAGAGTGCGGGAGATAGTGATAGAAGTATTTAAGGGTGAAAGGAATCAATAAAGGATATAGATAAAGTTTCTGGCAATATCCGGAGCAGGAGGTGACCTGGAGCAACGGATTCAAGTTGAATAAGTTTAGGTTTAGGAGGGAGATAGGAAGAAACTGGTTCACAAATAGGGTGGTGGACGAGTGGAACAAGCTTAGCAACTTTGTAGTAAGTGCGGGAACTCTGGAAAGTTTCAAAAGGAGGCTAGATAGATTCATGGATGATAGAGAGTGGTAGTAACTCTCGACAGGAGCTGCCATGCACAGGCCAACTGGCCTATTGCAGACTCCTTATTTTCTTATGTAACTGTGCATGGTGATGGAAGGCACAGATACACCACATTTCTTGACCTAAAAGCTGCATTTGATATTGCCAATAGGCAACTGATATTGTACGAACTAGCGAAAATGGATATAGGAGGTAGGCTGTTACACTGGATAAGTGGTTACCTAACCAACAGAAGGGCTGCTGCACTGTTTCAGGGTTACAAAGTGGTGTAAGTGTTGCAATGACTGGGGAGAGGGAGAGTTGCAATGAACTGCCAATATCCCAGTTTGTTGGATTTCGCCTTAGTAGCCTGTCCATCGTGCACTGCCTTCATCCGCCGGTGTGGTCGTTGGGTTACCATGGTGGTCACCTCTTCTGCCTATACCGCCGTTGGGGTCTTATTGGAGCTCCATAAGTATGTCTGGCTGATGTGGGGTTCCCTGCAGATTTTTGTTGTGGGGTATTGGGGATTACTGGCCACTGCGCCGTTAGGCTATTTCGGCCGAAGTTGATTGGTTGGACTTCTTCCTTTTCTTGTTTCTTCTTTTGCTTTTCAATTTCCATTCTTCTTCTTGGTCTTCTTCTGGAATATTCTCATACACTTCTATAAACGGCGTTAAAGATAGTGTAATGAAATCGGGTTTAATTTTGGCTTCTTTTTCGGTGGTCTTCTTGGGGTCTTGATTTTTGCTTGTTGTGATCTTGTTCTGGTCTTGCTTGGTCTTTTCTTCATTTTTCACTACAAGGAGAGCCTCCTTGTAGCTCAGTCTTTCCTTAGTCCGCAGCTTGGCCACCCTGCACTCCTCCCTCCACTTGGGACACTCCCGGTCGGAGGAGGAGTGAGGGCCACCACAAGCTGCGCACTTCTTGGCGGCCGCCGAGCAGTTGGTGTCCTGGTGCCCGGGTGTCCCGCAGCTGGAACACACTTCCCGAGCACGACACTTCCGCGCCAGATGGCCGTACCTCTGGCATTTGTAGCAACGAGTAGGTCTTCGCTGATACGGTCTTACTGGGATCTTCTCCCATCCCAGTAAGACGGTGCTAGGTAATTTCTTTGGGTAGCCAACCAGTGCAGCTGTACTGGTCAGCTTCCGAACTATTGAGAGCTGGTCTCCGATCAGCTCGGCCAGTTCTTCTTTTTCCAGATGTTCGATTTCTGTGTGGGAGATGACTCCCAAAACCAAGTTGTCTTCTATGCAGGCTTCAACTTGGATCTGGATCCCATTGATTTGTCTTATGTTTTCTAATTGCTGGGCCTCTCCCCATTCCGCGAAGGTGACGATAAGGTCACCGCTGTCACTGCGGACGATCCCTGTCACCCCCGTGATTCCCGAGGAGTCAAAAAACTTCCTCAGGACAAGGAGGTTGAGTTGCTTGCGCGAAGGGCGCTTGACTGGATACAGTCTAACGACCTTCGCCTGGTTGCAGGTGAACATGGTCACGTGGTACCTCGGGAGCAGAGAGAACCTACCTCGCCGAGGTTCAGTTCTCGATGATGATTCGGGGTTTACCTTCCGTAGCCTTATATCTACCAAGGTTAATCCGTAAGGCAGCAGGGCAGTGGTTGGTAGGCGCCAGGATGTGTCCACAAGCCAGTGGACCTATGAGCCTTCCCTCTGGGGCCCACTGCTACTCCGAAATCCCCTGATAGTCTAGCCTGGGGCCACGAGGCACCCAGTTACCGAGGAGACACAACAGGAGTCTTTATGGTCCTGGCAGGGGAAGATTTATGCAAGTTGCTTCCCTGTTGGCCAAGAGAGCTGCCAGCGGCGGTAGCTGAAAGTGAGAGGAAGCAAGCAGTGCTTGAACCTTGCCACTAACCTAATGCTGCCACACTAGACGCATTACAGTACCCTGTGTGCGCGCACTCACATACCCACCCAAAGACACTCAGACGCCCACCTAGGTATGCACTCAACCTGACAGAAACCCAGACAATCACCCAGACACACTCTGACACCAACCTATACAGACAATCAGACACCCGTCTAGATACGCATTCAGACACCCAGACAGATACTATGACAGTCACTCAGACACCTATCTAGACAGATAAGAGAGACCCACAGACACACACTCAGACAAATAGCTAGGCATACTGTACATCCATCCTGACAGACACCCAGACACCCATCCTAACGGACGATCAGGCATGTATCCAGACACCTACCAGACAGATACCCAAACAGCTACCAGACAGACAGACAGACAGACACCCATCCATCCAGACACCCACGCAAAAAGATATCCATCCAGACATCACCCAGACACACGCAGAAAAATGCGTAATTTAATAATAATAAATATGCGACCTGAAAAGCCATTGATGAGCACGATTAATGACGACTTAATCTCTTGCATATGATCTCTTAATCCATGACTACAATGACACTTTACTCACGGGAATAGGTCTTTATATATTCAAGGGGGTAAAGGATATACAGTGCTGAGGTCATCTCCCCTTTCCCTCAATATTTGTTTCAGTTGCCCATTGTATTTAGTTTCTGTCCTTTTCCGTTTTTCGTTAGAATCGAAATTTCAAGCTTATTGTAAAGACTTTAAGAAATGCCCTGATTATTTTATATAAGTACGTATACTAGTATTTGCTTCATTATGTAAACTTTGGAGAATGTATTTTTATTTTGTCCAGTATACAGTTATGAAAGACTGTATGAAGCAGGTGTGAAGTATAAAAAGAATTAGAAATTATATGTTGATGAAACAAGAAAGTATTGGAACATTGTTTTGGCGGGACTCTTTGTAGCTAGGTTGAGGAGGATAGGAGGGCCAAGCTTGTGTGGTGCACATTTATCGATTATTATCTGGACAATCATGGATAATTATGGTGTTAACTAAAGTGTAATATGTTCACATAGTCTAAAGAGTATTGTAGTAGTGAGAGAGCACTGCATTTGGTGGAGATAACATTATTCTGAGTGAATTGATTTGTGGCCTTTTGTATGCACCTGGACGGAGAGCACATATTTATTATATTTTGTTGTTAATATATTTTGTTGTAATTTTAAAGCTGTGTTTTGATTAAACCAGTTTTAATGGGAACAGTGGTATTGAAATAAACACCTGTCAGCTGTCAAGAGGTTGTTAGCCAGAAATAAGGTAAGGGCCTGTGTTTAACATTTAACCTCTGTTAACATAAGTTGTTTTATTTCAGTCTTTTCTCCGATATATTGGAACTATGGGCTGACTATACATCCTCTGGTGAGTCCTAGAAGAGGGTGTGAAGGTTGTAACAACAGTAATTCTGAATGTAAGACCTTGTAATGGGCGTATTTGGGTCCGAGTTGATAGTCGACCATGTCCACCCTGAGCTCGTAGGAGGCGCTGTAGGTGAGTTGGTGCAGTGCCTCCAAGCCTATCCACATTTCTTCATCCAGTTGGCCAAATCCTTGTCGGTAGTCTGCCCAATCCCGAGCGAAGTTCTGCTGCACATCCTGGGGCTGCCTGTGTGTGTGTGTGTGTGTGTGTGTGGATTATATGTACGTGTACAGGCGCGTACGTTTGTAATTAATGCACGGGTAAAAAAGATGAAGATATCATTAATGTCGGCCTCCCATGTCAAACAAATAACTAGATAAAAAAACTCTCGTATCTTAACAGCCTCTTAATAAACATAAACAAAATGGCAACCCTACTGTCATATTAATCACTTGGCGAGCGTTTAACACAGAGCTCATCAATGTTTAAATTATGAGAGCATGCTAGATGAACCAAGAGAAAAAGAGTTGTTACCGTCGCTGTATGACGGTCCAGCCGCCTCCGTTTGTCTCCATCTCGCAGTAGACTTGGAAGGTGAAGGGGAACACCTGGTACACTCCGCTACCCTGTCCGCACAACGAACATGTTATGTCACCGAACGTTTTAGCACAGTGAGGATACAGCAAGAGTCTTGATGAAGCCACAGTTCTAATACTACTCAACCAAACCTAACCTATTTATGAAGATTAGTGTCCATTTTAATTTTTGACCATTACGACTGGGACCATTTGAACTAACACCCAATCGTATTGCTTAGAACAGAATTGGTTGGCGTTCATGTCATCAATTACCCGGTCTTGCATTCAATTAGCTGAAACACCACCTCAACATATGACGCTCGCGTCATTATCTCATGTTACACACACACTCTCTTTCTCCCTCTCTCTCAGGACTGACTCGTTATTTTTATATAATTCAGAATTTTATCACAGGAATATAAAAGCTTCACGATAATAAATTACATTTCTAGAAAGTACGTAAAAAAATTATACTACAAATGTGGACACATACAGTACGTTTGGCGTAGTATAATATGAGATAACCGAGGCGTTTAACTCCTCTCACACTACTGTACATACATGTGTGGATCCCAGACTTGAATTAACAGTGATAAGAATGAGAACAAGTTTAGGCTGACTTCTTATAATTTATTGTTGTCACACACACACACACACACACACACACACTACTAAGAACATAATTATGTGTGTTAACCTTGACTCCAGCATGGTGCAGTGTCGAACAGTCCTGTACTACTGGCGGGGGAGATGACGCCTTCACTTTTGAGTCTAGATGGAAATTTAAATTATCAATATTTACATACCTAAGCACATGCAGTAATTACATAATGTTCAAATAACTGTATTTATCTGAATATGTGATATAACTTAGTGTTCTCTACAGCTGCGAGGGACCTGTGGTGAATTAACGTAGTGAAGTTATGAAGTAGTGGGCGATGTGATCAACTTACATAAGGTCTGCTCCAGTAGCTTGGTGTGCATTTTTGTTTTGTAAATCAAACCCATATTAAAAGATGGAGATCTCTGTTTCAACAATATGGTCTCGATACTCATTTCATTTGTGAGGATAGCCATATATAGACTGCCTGAGGACATTAAACTGTACCGATGAAGTGTAAGTCTCCGTTTCTTTATGTGGATTAATTTATACAAGGTGCTGTGAATCCTTCCAAGTATACATAGCATGTAGGGGCGGTAATGGCCATGGTACAGAGCTGCTTATGGTAAAGCTGAAGATGACAATTTCTGTGGGAATTATGGTTAGGTAGACAAAATATATATATATAGTGAGTCCCTTAAGCCTGATGGCCTATTTGGGACAGTGTGGATACGGCACACTAATATAAGTCTATTTTTGGCATATAAGAGGCATTGTGCTCGGTACTACATGCAGCAACCTCCATTTACATAACTGTAGGTTTGGTGTTGTGAGACAGTGGGTCAGATAATGGCCTCCTTATTCTATGTGATAATAAAACGTAAAACTCTATAAACTAAAAAAGGATATTCACTTGTAGGTAGTAGGTAGCAGGCAGCTACCAAACAGGAAGGTACTACCGCCTGGGAAGATATTGGAAGCATAATGTGTTGTCTAATGGTAGACCCTGCTGCCATATGACATCACGAATATTGTGACCAAGTCCCAGGTTGCTGATCTGACTTTCTTCCTCATTTACACACAATTGCAGGATCTCAATTGTTTCTCTTACTATTGACAACACAACATACTATACATATAGCATTTCTCACTAGTGATTATTGTTTTTCTTTTCTTTATTATCATTATTACAGTGTTATTATTATTATTATTATTATTATTATTATTATTTTATTTTACTTTTTATTATAAATTTTATTTACTATGAATTACTATTATTTTTAAATTTTCGTCCCCCCAGGCCCCGATGTGGGTCAGTGACCTGTGCCCGGGTGGGCTAATCCCCATAAAAAAAAAATCTTATTAGGCGTACAATAGGATCTAGCGAATACTGTAGGTACCGGTACCTTCACTCATGTTTTCACAACGGTAACATATGCATATTATAATTTTAGCTGAACCTTTGGTAATTTTTTTTCGTTTAAAATGTTAATAAACACAACGTAATACAGAGGAAACTATGTTTTATGAAACATTAGGTTTTTGTGGAAAACAGTGGTAATGATTCAGCACTTGTTACCATAACAAAATCAGTGGTTAATTCCTTCCTACCGTGACTCTTCACTAAACATATTGTATCCAGGATCTCTCCTAACTGTTTGTCACGACTCGACTTAACTTATCTCAGCATAACCAAACTAACCTTAAAGTTATTTTTTTTGTTATAACACCTACTGTGGTTCCATCATCTTAAAACAAGTGGTGAAAGTAACTGGCAACTGGTAAGCACTCCCCACTACGCGGGTACACAGTCGCTTAATGGTACTATAATAACCTCTTTGAATAATAAAATACACTTGCCTTGTCTCTGTATTCTGAGTATGAGGTCGGTAATGGTGCGTAGTTCATGCAGGACAGCAGTGTCGGGGGCTTCTTGGTTGGCGGCGTAACTGATACGTCCTTCCTTGGCAACACTTCCCTCTGTGGCTGTCCGTATTACGCCCGGTGATCTGGGCCCTACGGACACCACCACGCCCACTACTACACACAAAGTCACACCCAACACCCACACATTATGTTGTGTCATGATTGTAATCTTCACAGCCGTAGTGTTTTTATGGACCTCACGGTTAACAAATTAATACGAACGAGAACTCCTCTTTCAACAGTATTAACTTGAAGTTGCTTGGTGGCCGTCTCGTTCGGGAGAAGCTGATGACGGTGGTGGTGTTGTGGGCAAGTGACTGCAACACTAACTCCTCTCAACTATGACAGTGCCTTCTTTCTTGGCCAGCTGTATCTTGTCCTTGCTATATATAACACGGTCTCACTATCACCTTTGTGATAGTCCTACACTGAGCTGAATAACGTGTGTGTCGGTGCACTGCGGCGGATGAGGAGCCCTGTGAGGGAACCACAGGCAACTGAGTATGTGTGCTCGGCCGCCCTCCCTCCAGGGGATACTCCCTCAAGTATCTCGTTCATACACCCTCGCCTCCCCTCTCCAGGACGTCTGCAGCTGAAGGTTACATTCCCTACATTTAATACCTTACTGCAGATTTTATACTAGTCTTGGTGATCCAGGCACTGCGATTTTCGTTTTGTGCGGTCCATGCATTTTTGTGTAAATAATAAATGTCAATAACATCTTCCCTACAGTGTCATCCTGGTAATGTTGTCCACACGTCCAGGATACCAACTCTTCCTACCTTTCACAGTTGCCTTCTCTCTCCGCGATATTATTTATGACACTAAGTTAATCGTACCAATGAAAGGTTCGTAGAAAAATAACAGTTTAATGAACCTAAACTGAATTTCACCCCAAATTAATTCTATTGTCTATCGGAGACTTCTGCGATAACCAACAGTCTTACGGCAACTAACCAACCCTGTCCTTATTCTCAGTCGTAGTTATGTGGCTGTTGTTATCACTATTTTGACAATTATCCTTTTTTTTCTACCATGAATGTACAAAATCCATAAAAATATTTCATGAGTGTAGCATATGAGGCAGAGTGGAAAACGGGACAGCGGTTTGATTTTTTATTTTGCCGCTTGCAGCGGCTACTTTATTGTGCACCCCACACTCATCCTGTGAGCGGTAGCGCAAAAGGATTACAGAGTAGGGTTTACAAAGGGTCATAATAATTAACCCCGGTTGTCAGGATATTATGGCACTGAAAGTTACACAGCATTTCATTTACATTATTTGTTTAGTTCTATACATAAAGGGTAACTTATTCACAAATGCGTGAGAACAGGCGTGTGAGGCAGTATGTCTGGCCTCACACTTTGTTATTATTCGCTACATTTACGTGGGAGGTATTCACAATATTGCGTATTTGGTTCTGTACATGAGAACCGGAGATAGTTACTGAAAGCGCAAAAGTGATAATCTTAATATGTCGGCTATCTACATTAGAGATGCAAGTGTTGTGCCATTTCACGGTGTTGGACCTGTCCCTAAAAGGTTCTATCTTCACACAGTCGAGGACGTAGTGTTCAAGTGTGTGGCCATATGTCTGGCCACACACTTTACATTTAGTCTTGTTTACATCTGCTTGAGGAACATACTGCCAAAGGTACTTATATCCAAACCTTAATCTAGCGGTTACAACATCTTGTAATCTAGTGATCTTGTTACTTGCTCCATATACATGTTTCACTTGATACATCTCATCATGGTAAACTATGGATCGACTAGTGCCTGTTTGCACTTGTCTACTTGCGTCAAACTCATCAATAAGTTCTTTCCTAATTACAGTTTTAAGGGTTCTTTTGACAGACCCAAATTGTATTCAACGGTGTCTTTGTTAGACGCGAGTTTGGCGAGGGCATCAACTCTGTCATGTTTTATGAGGCCTATGTGAGAGGGGATCCACAACAGTTTGACCCTGACACCCCGGTCAACAAGGCACGCATATTTGTGTCTGGCTTCAGAGACAAGATCGTGACAACCTGAGTCGAGGGTACCAAGGGCAAGTAGTGAGGATAGAGAGTCAGTGATGATGAGACTGTCAGTAACAGTGGTTTCAATGAATTTACTAGCTGTGAGTATGGCAACTAATTCAGTTTGTAGAGTGGATGCCCAGTTGTTAATTCTAACTCCTTTCTCAATTATATTACCGTCAGGTTGAGTCACAACAATAGCACTTCCAGCCCTCCCACAGGCGGTGTTTAGAGATCCATCAGTGTAGATGGCCTGTGTGATATTATCATCAGTCTGTAGAGTGTGTATGTGTTCAAGGGCTCTCAATTTGGCAGTGTGTTGGAGATAAATGCTTTGTATAATTAATTTTTTAGGCGGATACGTCGGTATTGTGATATCGAAGGGAACTGTCCGCCAGGGTGGCAGGAAGCGCTGTTGTGTCTCAACTTTGTACAGGTGGTCTAGTCCAAATATCTTCATATGTGTAGCTGTAGTTTTGATCCATTTAGACTCAGTAGTCCCATGGTTCATACATTCTAGCAATTTTAAGGAAACAATGTTATCAGGATCACCACGCAGAAGCCTCAGGGCTATCATGAGGTTGACTTCAATTATTCTATCTTTAACACTGGGTATACCTAGTTCTTTCCTCATATTAAGTACTTTAGTGCTCATGGGACATCCTCCTAGGATAATTCTGAGGGCTTTATTTTGCATTTTCTCGAGCTTGTCAACTCCTTTCCCGTCACGAATGACCAGGGCTGGTGCGTGGTAATCTATCAGAGATCTTATATAGCCTAGGTACATTGTTTTAACAATTCTAATATTAGCACCATAGTGTGGGCTGTACCCCGCTACACTTCTAAGAGGTCTCAGTCTGTCAGTACATTGGCGGGTTAGCTGTTGTATGGCAGGTAGGGTACAAGGGACGGAAACACCAAGATATTTAAAAGAAGAAACATAGTCAATAGTGTTGTTACCGATCTTGAACTTGGCGGGGCCGCGTTTGCGGTTCCCAGCTTGTTTGTTGAACACCTTAGTTTTGTCAGTGGAGATAATAAGACCGAGGTGTTCACAGGCTGCGTATACATGGTTCAGGGTGGTTTGCATTTCACGATGAGTTTTAGTATGTATAAGAATATCATCAGCATAGCTGATTGAGATATTGCTGGGGTTGTCTGGTACTAAATTTAACAATGCATTCATAAGAACATTGAACAAAGTGGGGCTAAGTACTCCACCTTGAGGGGTACCAAGTTGCATATCTTTAACTTCACTTTTGTAACCCTGAAACAGTGCAGCAGCCCTTCTGTTGGTTAGGTAACCACTTATCCAGTGTAACAGCCTACCTCCTATATCCATTTTGGCTAGTTCGTACAATATCAGTTGCCTATTGGCAATATCAATGCAGCTTTTAGGTCAAGAAATGTGGTGTATCTGTGCCTTTCATCACCATGCACAGTTAGGAATGTGGTGATGCAATTATGTACACCTTTACCATGGGTGAAGCCATTTATGTTAGGAGACATGTGTTCTCTGATTCTATATAAGAGTCTGCCAAGAACCATCCTCTCAAAGGTTTTACACAGGCAGCTGGTTAGTGATATGGGACGAAAGGCATCAGGCTGTCCTGGTTTCTGTATTGGTACAACAATACTGCTGGTCCATGGGAGGGGGAAGAGTTAGTGCAGGTTGAGTGGGTTAGATTTTTTTTTTTTGTCGGAGTGGTCTTGAGTTTGAGTTGGGGGCGTGGGGTTTGGAGTGAGGGGGGGGGAGGAGCGAAGTTGGGTAAGTCAGGTAAGGTTAGGTTAGGTTGATTGGGTTAGGTTGGGTGGGAATCATTGGGTGTGGGGTTGAGGAGAGGTTAGGTTAAGGTTAGGTTAGGTTAGGTGGGAATCGTTGGGTGTGGGCTGAGGAGAGGTTAGGTAATATTAGGTTAGGTTGATTTGGTTAGGTTGGGTAGGAATCGTTGGGTGAGGGTTGAGGAGAGGTTAGGTTTAATTTGGGGGGAGTTGTTGGGTGTGGTTATAAGGAAGTTATTAATATAAGGGAAGTGGGAGGGGAGTGTTTGGTCTGTTTAGTACTTATATGAGATTGAAATTCTGGGGTGCAGGGATGAGGTCTAAATTGTCGAGTGACTGTGAGCGTGGTGGTCTGAGTGTTGTGTATGCAAGTGAGGGATGGGCAGTTACGTGACTGTGTGTGGGGGAGTCGGGAGGTTGAGGGGAGTGTGCTAGGTTCGTGTCAGGGTTATTTTCTGTTTCATTTGGGGTAGTGCCGAATAGATTTACTTTGATTATAGATTTAGTTGGATGTGTGTATTGTATAATTCTTTTGCTGTCAGGTGTATAGGGAGAAAGGGGGGAGGTGTTCTTCCTCTTTGGTCTAGGGGTCATGACTGTATGTATATTATGTATGCTGGATTATGTATTATGTATGTATATTATGTATGTGCTCCATTTATATTTGTTCAGCCTAGCTAGCAGCGTGTGGCAATGTTATTACCATATCCCACATGCTTAATTAATGTGCCTGGCGACGTATGGAAGCTGCTAATGTATCACTTGCCATACGTCGTCTATAGCAGTTGACCAGGAGCCTAGCTAGGGAGGAGCGCTACCCACCTCTGTGTACATACTCTTATCCAGTAAACCGAACCTACAAAACTATACAGGTGTTTGTGTTCTCTCCTGTATATAGAACTTATTACCCAGAACACCTAACATGGCGCAGTGCGTAGTTTTACTGGATTATTACGAGTGATAAGTGCAAGTTTGTGGAAAGCCGGCTTATGGACTCCCGCCTTTGTGTCAACCCCGCGTCATCCCTCCCTCGAAGAATTTAGCAACTTTGAGCAGTGTCAGTGACAGTGATTTTCTGTGAAGTGTTAAGTGCATTGTGTGTTTTGTGCCATTCATGTGTGACCTTGTTCGAACGGATTTCCAAGGTATACGGCATGTTCTGGGCATTTGTGGGGTGTAGAGCTCAGCGCACCCTCCTCTGACCGTTTACAGAGGGTGACTGAGCTACTCCTGTCTCCACCCCCCTCCCTCACAGCGCCGCCTCCACCCCCCCTCACAGCTGGGGCGAGACGCTTTGCCTGCCTGGGACACACACACACACACACACATACATGTACTAACACTTGCTGACCGCGCGGCTTCATTATATATATTTTATATATATAACCTACTTATCTGTGTATTTAATTAATTTTTTGTGTCTGAAATCTTGTTGATACGACGGGCTGACCGGTCAACACTGATTTAAGACACAGTACACAGATAAAGTAGTTATGTCTCATGCCTTACGTAGCCGTGGACCCAGCGCCTGGATGAGTCAAGCTGATGATAGTCCCACAGAGATGGATGACCAGGCCGGCCACGACGCTCCAGCTCCCACAACATCGCGCAGCCCTTCACCTCAACATTCAGCGTTATCTCCAGAGATAATTGCCTTAATGAAGTTTATGAGAGATGAGAGACGCGAGGATGAAGCTCACAGACGTTTGGCGGATGAGCACAGAAGGCAAG